GGGTTGGCCACCGCGGCCAGAGGACAACAACAGGACAACTACAAGCAAGAAGAGGACAAGACAGGACAGGAGGAGAACAAGAGGAGGACACAGGGTTGGTCAGCGCGGCCAGAGGACAACAGCAGGCCGACTGCAACACCAGGAGGACAAGAGGAGGACAGGGGCGCCCCAGCTCTTTTTTCCTAAGAGAGAACCCCAACAGTAAACTGTCAGGGGAAAAATCTATAACAAAGATGAATCGAGTCTATATGAAAAAATATTCCTGACACGGGGTCGAACCCGTTAATTCATGTTATTCTTATTGACAGCTGATTGAAATATGCAACAAACAGGATAACACCATGGTGTTTATATAGATGCTTTTCAAACACATCTATATAATCAAATCTCAATTTATTTGAGTATCACAAAACGAAAACTTCTGCTGTGAATCGATGTTTCACCTTCTCAAGTGCCCCCACCTCACCGGTGGAGCAAATTAATTCCAGAAATTTAATTCTAGACTCAGTATTAGTTTTCCAGCGTTGGGGATATTCTAAGTTACACAACTGGACGAAGTCAAAGTGTTGTCTTCCATGAGGCAACACTGCGTAAGCTCAGCACTTTTTGTCCATGCCTAACAAGACAGTGACTAGCCCATCAAATCAGAACAGCTCAGCCGCTCAGCAAAACTGGGTTTCGTGCCCTCCACAATGTCGAACTCCACGATGTCATCGCGCTGGCAATATCGAACGTCGTAACAAGCGAAACAAAGCCGGCGTCAAGCCTCGACTGGCTCCCCGTCAACAACGTCAGCCAAGTCAAAAAAGACCTCAAATGGCAAAAGCTCAATCGAATCACTTGCTCTGGCTTGGCTTTGACCAGGTGAATTGGCAAGATGTTCCAATGTAGTATATTATTCAATGGACTCGACATATGTTTTTTATTTTCTGACTGTCATGTTCTTTCCATGTTTATCTTGGTTGAATAACAGTCGGAATTTAGAGCCTGCTGTCTCCGAGCAAGGCTGACAAGTGATTAGCTCACTCTATGGCCGAAATGTAGATTTATATGTGAGTCGAAGGGAGATTTGAAAAAGTCACTGAAGCAAAAGCAAAGGTGGCGCTGCAAAATGTTGGACTTACTCAAAATATATCTTTATCTGAGCACTCTACAGTTCTCTCTACATCTTTCTCTTGAGAGTATGCATTAGCATGGCAAAAACATCTCTTTGGTGACCCTGAGATTGCAGCATCTTTCTCGCCATCTGGCCGTTGAATGAAGCCGCTGAGCTTTCCATTTACAAACCTCGCTCACGAACACCAAACAATGCAAAGCGAGCACATGCTCACTCGCAAACCATGACGGGCCGCATAATGATTTTGCCGCGCAGGCCCTTGGCGACTACCTTTGCCTTCGCAAAACTTGGAGAGGTTGTCCCAAGATTTCTGTTTCTCGGCTTGCGCATGTTGGCATGTCGAGAGTCGTCAATTACCCCTGAAAGTCAAAGTGGCCTCTCGCTTGCCCTTACCACCTGCCAGTAGTCTTGAGCTTGCCGACTTACTTGAAATGTGGGTTAACAACAAGCGCACAAGTGTAAGCCATTTCTGCCTTCAAAGCAAAATCATGATCGTCATCTTGGATACTAGCACACACTGCCCACCTTTCTCGCCCTTGCCGTCACCTTTTCTGTCTCCCTTTTCTCCTTTCTCTCCTTTGCCTTTGCGATCTCCTTTCTTGCCCTTCTCAAAGCCATTCCTTGGTCTTCAACCCGAGAGCAATCGCTGACTGTATCCGCCTTAGTGACTAAGAAACCGGCCGATCTCCTTTTCTATCCCCTTTGTCTTCCCCCCAGTCTCTGTCGCCTGCTAAATCAAGCATCCCATGCAAGATCATGCGAGAACATTTAAAGCATCTGCGTGGCCTCTGCCTTTGCCGTCATTGAACTTTCCTTTCCCCTTTTGGCCTCTCCCCAATGACCAAAATGCATGATATGAAGTTTGAAATTGAAATTGCCTATAAAATGCCTGGCCTTGGTTCTCCATCTTCCTTCCAGGAGTAATGATTGATGCTGAGTGTACATGCACAAAATCCAGCCTATTGAGGGCAAGATTGGCAGCGAAGATTGTCACTGGTGCCTTCCAATGTGGCATGAGTTCACCGCTCGTTCACGATTCAACTTATATACGGAAGCCCATATATCAATTATATCACATATATATATATATATCAGTTGAGAAATCCACCTTATCACCTCCCACACGCCACCCGGAAGCCACCCCGAATCTCAGGCTTGCGAGTACAACCCCAGAACTCTCAACAACCTCTTGAACCTGCAGGAACCTCCGGAACATCAAACAACCCACCACAACCTACTCATATGTTTATATAAAATATACCCACACACATTATATAACATTATAATACATTATATATAAACATAGCATATGTATATATACTACATAAAAGAGCATTCACGAGCCGTGTTTCTAAATTAGGTAAAGCGCCTGCACACTGATGGGGTTGCCTACGCTGGGGGGTTCGCAGGGCCAGAATTTGTGGGAACTGTGGCTTTGCGAGGCTTCGTGCAACACCAGAGGCTTGGGGAATTGTTTTTGCGAACTGGTGTTGCAAACTTTCATACACTCTAATTTGGCCGTCGCGAATTTGTTTCAGAAGAGTCTATGCCAGGGGCTTCGCGAGCCTTCGCCACATATATTTTAATGCATCACACAAATGCCTTCGCAAACATTTGATGAGGTGCAGTTTAATTATCAGTCAACTAAAAACATCCACATCCCAGGGCCCTGAACCCAAGGAACCTTCCGAAACCTGGATCCTACTGACTGGCACCCACTTGAACTTCATGCGGAAGCTTCGCAACCTTCCAGAAAAGAAAACACTTGATACATCTTGATACCTTCTTTAACCTCCCGGAACAGGAATCAATTTTTGCTGCGGATCTCGAAACATTATTTTGTTGGTGGCTTCACCGGCAAAGTTGTTTGTTTCAAACGTTGGCCTGTGTCTGGTTCTAGAAAACATCTGGTTCGCGCATGTTTCGCTCACTGGCCTGTCACGGCCTATCTCTGCTATGACTCTGCAATATCCATGGTTTGAGAGATGCAGACCCAACTGCCGATCGAGGGTGCTCACATCCGTGCGTGGCTGGTTCGTTGCTATTTACAGTGAGAGCATTTCGACTGCATGTGGTGAAGTCCACGTTTTCAGGTTTGGTGGTCACTGTCTTGGCAGGCACAAGGGAACCCTCGTGTTTGGTGCTCTGAGGTCGACTTTGTGGCAGGTGTAAGATCGGAGCCGTTTTACTTCGATGCGCAGATTTCGTGGCAAGCGCAGCGCTTTGGACTTGGTGGTGGTCTTTAGTGGTTCTGATTTTGTGGCAAGTACAGTGAATTGCGCACTTTGGACATGTGGGTCATTTTCCGAATTTGGGAGAATATCGCACGAAGGCGGTTCTTTGGAAGCGCTTTTGTTGCGAAACGCACTGGCCGAGCCGCGCGATGTGAATCGTGATGTGCAAATTGTGGCAGGCACAGGGCTTTGTGAACCTTGAAGTGCAGATTCGCGGTAGGTGCAGCGCTTTGTGACCCCGGAAAGTGGAAACTTTTTGTGGGTGCGCTCTCTTAGTGTGTGCTCTCATTGTGTGCGCTCATCTGCTTGCTCACGTGCTTTCAACCTGTGCTCTCATATGTGTGCTCACTCATACCGTGCTCGCATGCACTTGCTCACGTATGTGGGCTCTCATACCTGTGCTCTGGTACACACCCTGTCATGTGTTTGCTCTCAATGTGTGCCGTGAATCTCACATGTGCACTCAAGTATGTTTGCCCTCATAAGTGCGCTCTCCCTGTGTGCTCTCACACACGCCTTCTTAAATAGGAGTTCTCATACGTGTGCTCTCATCGGTATGCTCATGGGTACTCTCTTCTGTGCGCTGTGTTTGGTTGGTGAGCGGAGTCCCCAGGTGAATCTGGATTGGTGGTTTGTCACTATCATTTAAAGAGTTTGAAGTCAGGACTATTTGGGTATGTGGACTCGTTGTGTTTGATTTCTTACACAGGGGGTTATGTGGAACATATCACCCTGCACATGATACTTGAGCAGGATAGATGGCCAGTCTTTTTCAATGCTTGCAATTGAGCAGAAGAAGACAAGGGTGAACAAGCCAACTTCCGACACGCACGAACGTACGCATATGAGAGCTCACATATGTGCCCGGAGAGCACAAATGAAAGCACACATGTGTGAGCAAACGCATGAGAGCACGCGGACGAGCGAGTGAGCGCTCTGAACAGACCTGTGAGAGCACACATCAAAGCACGTGCGTGAGAGCACACATGTGAGCAAGCACATGAGAGGACACAGGTGAGAGCACAGATATGTGAGCAAACACATATGTATTAGTATTAGACACAAAAGGAACAAAACTGCTGTGAGGGTCAAGACGCCCATTGTGTCTATTTTAACAAACAAAACTTGTGAATCGAACGTCATTGCCTCCCCAACCCCCCCAAATCTGCAGAATGCTGTATGTATGTTTTTCCATTTCTCTGTTCGTCAGCTGTTCTGAGCCTTTGCAACGCTCGCAACAAACCATAAGGACCGCGCAGGTACTTGGGGATTAGATGCAGAAGACATGCTCTGCCATCTCAGACTAAGGACCCTGCCAACTCAAAAAAATGACAAAAAAATGACAAAAGAAGGGCGCTGCAGAAGCCTTGGCAACAGAAGGCTGTGTTCGACCGCTGTGGAATCTGACACTCAAGTGCAAACAATTGTAAGATGCCGACTACAGCCCTTGACTGGAGCACAAAAAGCCAGAGAGCTGAAACCTCGGACATACAGAGATGTGCGGCACTTTGGGCTTGGACAAACCATTTCTGCACGTTTACCAGAGCCACCGATAAACTTGAGGCCAGAGGGGGTGAACGAAAGCTAGCCGGGCTTCTGGTGGTCTGCTGCTGGTGCTGCTGCTGCTGGTGCTGCTGCTGCCGCTGCTGCGCTGGGCGCTGCTGCGCTGGGTGCTCTGCAGGCGCCGGGTCGTCTGCTGCTGCTGCTGGCGCTGGGTGGTCTGCTGCGGCTGCTGCTGCCGCGGCGTTGGGTATGCTGCTGCTGCTGCTGCCGCTGCCGCCGCTGGGTGGTCTGCTGCTGCTGCTGCTGCCGCTGGGCGCTGCAGATGCTTGGTGGTCCCGCTCACCGCGCGCAGGGGGGAGTCGAACCGCGGGGGGGGGGGGGGTCCATAAGATTGATTTAATCAATTATTTGAGGTTTCTGAGGTGCGTCCACCCCGTCACTTAACTTGCTAAAGCAAGAGCAACTCCAGCTAGCTAAGGCTAGCTTTCGTGACTGGTACTGAAAAAACACATTGACTGGAATCTTGCTAAACTCTTTCCAAGCCTGCACGCTCCCTGCCGACAGCTCAGAGTGTCATTTCGAGGCCCCTTTGAGGGGCGATCCTTGGCAAACATCGAGCAAGATAAGACTGTTAGGGACTAACACTGTTCGAGCTCCAAACACCTGGACTTGCTGTCTGGACTTTAGAAGGCAACGGAATGCAACACGCAGTACAAGAAGTGGCCAAACTGTTAGTCGTCCGATAGACCACTACGCTGGTGTGTCTCACAATGAACATAGGGGTCGTCTAACCATGTTGTCCCAACACCCCAAATGATATGCACAGCAGGGCTGTGCTGACTGATAGTCGTCCGATTAGATGAGAAGTTGGGTAATGGCTGCGCATGAACACCGCACTATGTTGGGTGCACGATGTTAGTTTTTTACATTTTAATGTTGAAACCCAAGTTGACACCTTCATGACATTCCCCGACCATCAGAATATGTGAAGTGAAGTCAACCCCATCCAAGAAGCCTGCCCGACCGAGCAACCCAACATTGACGCACACACGAAAACCTTGAGGATCCTTATATAAGATCCTGAAATGCCACTTCCGCTGCAGCAGCCAGCAACCACATCCTACCACTATCCCCCTGCTGCAAACAGTATCTGCCAGTTTCTCTGTGGTGGTGTGTGCCCGGCAAAACACTAGAACACTTACTGTACTTGGTAAGGCAGTGGTACTGCATGCACAGGTTTTGGGCTTGTAAGCCATTTTCGGCCCGTTGCAGGGGTCTGGCGAAAGTCCCAATAAGCCCGGAAGAAACTGGCAAGCGCTATGTGCACAAACATCTGTCAGCCAAACCAAAAAAGGGAAAAGCTGGAGCTTTCAAATTCGGACGGAATTGAAGTTTGCAACGGCTTGATGCACTGCTTCGCTTGGGCATGCACTTGATGTCAAACTTGTCAAAACCTACATGCAAATCGTATATGGGTATGCATTTGCCAATTTCGATGAATGGTTCAGATCTTCTAAGATCATCTAAGATCTATCACATGGCCTTGAGAATGGTTTGTACCAACTCCGCCAGGTGAGTTCAGGGCGAGTTCAGGGCCTAGTGAAACTGATCAAAGTAAGACATCCATAGAACCAAGTGATGTGCACAGAATGCAACCATGCCATTATTTTACAAGTGGTTCGACAAATTGATCTTCTCGAAACTGGTTGCACAGCCAGGCCTGCGAGTCTAGGCTGGTGATCTGACAATGCACCAACAGCTAAGGAGCTACCCTTTGTACAAACTTGCCATCAAAAGCTTTGTGAACTGCATGGCTCTTGCAAGCCGAGAATCACCTGCCACCTCAAATTCACAAAACTGAGCTGATGAACACTACTCACTACTCAAGACCGTTCATGTTTCAAACCTCAACGCAGCTGAGGTCCAGGTCCTAGCTGAAGCACGATCCAAAAGGTCGAAATACGTGAGGTCGAGTTGAATGCATAGCCCTACTCAAGAGCCGAAAAGGCTCGTTCAATAAGAATGGCGGGAAGTAGCTTGAAAGGCTGATTTTGTTGAAATTGCTGTGATTATGCTGAAAAGGATCAAGAATGATTCAAAGGTGCTGAAAGCCGCTGGCATGTTTTCTCAAGTCGGGCATGTGCTGCATGAAACATGTGAAACTTTGCACCGGCTGGCTCTGCCATACCGAGGCCCGTTAGCATTCTCGCTCTGTCCTGCTGTCAAGCAGCACTGTTCTCAGTGTGTTCCTGCTAATCCGGTTTCCAACGCCATCCAATGCCAAAGCACTGGAGGAATGGACACCTCACAGAATTGCCATAAATAGTCTGTGAAGGCGAACAACATGCCATAACACTACGACACCAAACACCGGGTTGCAAACATTTGGTGTGGAACATGCTGCTTCACGTGCCTGTCATGCCAGATCAGCACAATGCAATGCATCTGACAAGGAAGCCATCTCAAACCAAGCTAGTGGGATGTGCGTCTCTGGCATCCCTGTGTCCTGGAGGCTTACCTTGATTGTATATTGTGGCTTTGCAAAGTCTAGAATAAGATGGTACATGCAAGTCATGTACTCACCTGTGCAACCCAGCACGCTCGCAGCCAGTTGTTATCAATGTAGAGGTGTGTACAGCCATACCGCACTTTTATCATGTATGCAGCATATGTATATATATATTAATATTAATATATTAATATACAGTATATTATATATCAACATGAACTTGCAAATGAATATGAGTCACTGTGTCACTGGCTGGAGCCAGCCGTACCACTCCGACCACTCCCACCTTGAGTCTTCGCTTCAGGAGCCATTCCTTCATGGTTGACATAGAGCCGTTCACCTAAAGCGATGCCAGGAGCCCCTAGTAGCGTCCTTGCTCCTAGTAGTAAGGCCAGGAGCCCCTAGTAGCTTCTTGCTCCTAGTAGTAAGGCCAGGAGCCCCTAGTAGCTTCTTGCTCCTAGCAGTA